CAGGGAGTAGTCATAAGCCTAGAGACTCACCGCAAGGCTGCAAAATGGAAAAATCTATCTCTACACTTTGATATAAATTGCTAACATGGGGAGAATAAAATTTAAAACCCAGCCAGAAGTAAAATGTCGCTTTAAGAAAAGTGATTATGGTGACCACAGGGTTATGACATCAACTTAAGGAGTATCAGTGTGTGTTCCTGTTGTAGCAGAGATATTTTGTGTTTTAAGAAAATAAGATATCTCACTTTAGCAAATGTTCTTTAGTTGTTGTTATTCTCACCTGATCCCCAATGCACTAGACTCCTCAGGAGCACTAGCATCTCCTCCCAGGCTTGCTTACCCAATGGCTGAATGTTTTAGTCATATTTTTTCCTCCTTAAGTAAAACCTTCACACCAAGATAAACAGTCTTGGTCATTTGCTGCAGGGGTGTATGATAATTTATTTGAGATGTTTTGAAATATGAGGTTTTAGTGAGGACTAAATATATTTATTCTCTTCATAAAATACTTCATAAGTTACATCTTTGACCCCATAACAGTGAATCTTAGGGGAAATTTTACCTCATGCATCACACACAACACACTTCTCAATCCCTGTGTATTTTCCTGTGGCCTGATAAATTACATGCTTCAAGGGTGACAGAATGCTCTCCCAAAGGTTATTGGTTTTTAGGTGCCATGTGGCCGCACAGCCTTCTGATGACTTTAGACGTGGATCATATATGGGCCAAGGGAGGATTTATTAATTTGAAAGACAGGCAGGGACAGGCAAACTAGAATCTACAGCCCACTCTGGTCCCTGCCCGTTAAAGAAAGTAAGATCTCTCACTGCTTTTAAAGTCTTGTATGCTCAGATAGTTTATACATTTTTAAAATGCTGTTTAAAAAAAATAACAGGAAAGAAGAAGAAAGGATATGGGGCTGAGAGGTATGTGGCCTGAAAATACAAAAAAATAAATAAAAATAAAAAATAAAAAAGTAATTAATTAATTAATTAATGCTGACTGTTTGGTCCTTTACAGAAAAAAAGTCTGCTTATCCCTCTCTTAGGCCATCCAAACTATTGCTTGGGCTAGGAGAACTGTTTAGTGCACGTGGTGGAAAATATCCAGTTGTTAAAATTTCAGTGATGTTTAGGTTATGCGAATGTGCCTCCTGAATGACTCCCAACATGTTATAAAACAAAAAAAAGCTCCAACTCTTTGCTGTGTATTTATAGGACCATAAAGCCGTACCATAGGTTTAACATTCTATTATATTGTTCTTAGCTTTACTAAGCATAAAGCTTTGCTAGTTACATAAATGCTATGTTAGTAAAACAAAACAGAATAAAACTATCCTTCTAAGCACATATACAAATCACAGCTACAAAAGGAGATTTGATAGCGGAGACATGTAATTCCCAAGCTTCTGCACATTGATTTTTCAACTTTATGATGAGTCTGATGTTTACATGTATATACAGAGCATATATTATTGTGTGACATTTCTCCAAATGAAGGTTGAATTTTAAATGGTATTGTGTAATCAAGAAAGCTTCAAATTCATCTTAATTTTGATGTAGGTTTCCAAATTTTAGGGATTTTATAAAAATTAGCTGTATGTCTTTCCTTTTTTCTTCCCTTTTATATCTATGTGTAAAGCTGCAAGTGAATGTGAAATTCAAATTATGTAAATAACAACAAAAATAGGTCCTTTTCAAAGCCTATGACATTGTAGGCATTACCACTAATATGGTATGTGTTATTGGTGGAAGTGCTTTCCCCACTGAGTGCTTGGAATGGGGTCCTTCCCATATCTGGGGAAAAATAATTTCCTGAGACTCACATGAGATGATGAGTGACTTTTATTTGTATGGAATTATATTATTGGGTTTCCAAAGTCCTGCTTTCCTTAATCCAGTCCTGGAAGATGTGCAGCCGGGGATTCAGTAGAGCTACCAGCAAAGCCAGTGTCCAACATTTCTGTCCCAAGGTGGAGTGGGGTCAGGTTTAGCATCAGGCTAGTTGCGGTCCATCAGTCCATTGTGTGGGGTCCACATGGCCCTGAGCCATATGGATGAATGTAGGGGAACCAAAAGAGTGCACCCCTTGCCACAAGAGTCCCAAGTTTCCCCAAAACATAAGAGAATAGCAGGGCCAGGAGAGAGAACTTCTTTGTTTAGGGGATTAAATATCCCAAATCTTTCTGTGCTTGAGTGGCCACGCCTACTCTCGCCAATGACCTGTTTCCAGGTGTGACCGACAGGCAAGTACCTCTCCTGTGTCACCCAGACTTTACTGGGCATGTGTCTGTTCTCCCACTGCCCAGTCCCTTCCCCCAAGGATCCATGGGGAATAGACTGGTGTCTCCCTGGGAGTGTTAAACTGCAGCTTCCTGGCAAAGCTGCACAAATGGCATGCCTATGATATTTGGCCTCCCTTTGCTCCTTCCAGTTATTAATATTAATAGCTAGGTTAAGTTACAATGGCATCATACGCACCATAGTGGACCAGTCTTTCTTTCCTTCCAGTAAAAGTGTCATTCAGACATCTGATTACTTGTACTAAAACTGCAAAGGAGCTTGTGCTAATGACCCCAATAGGAGCATGCTCTGGGAAGATGTGTGAGAAAGGAAAATACTAATGCTGTCGAAATTCATGGAAGTGAAAATACAGAAAGAAGTACACTACACAGGGAAAATATACTGCCAAGGGTTGAAAATCAAACGAATGTCTAAAATGTGGTATGATATAAATTATCAAATTTTCTATATAATACCAAACATTAAAAATAAGTGTGTTGTGCCTGAAGAAAGAAACCGGCTGAAAATGTGATTCTCAATTTAGGATGGGATTGGCTTGGATAAGTTCGTGGCTGGTTTGTTCTTATTCAGCATTGAGTGGTTTAAGCCCTCTCATTCTTCTAAGCCTGAGTTTCTTGACTTGAAACAACAACAAAAAAAGCATCTCTACCAAAGTTAGAATTTTCTACCATGCACCAACAATACAGTGTGAACTTATGTATTAAAGTGATGTATTTTGAAAAGAAAAAAAGTCAACCGAAAATCGAGGGCAAAAGACCAAAATTGCACAAAAATTACCTGCAGATCTTGACAGCAAAGTAAGTCTTTTCTTTGAAGTGGGGGGTAGTCTTATACAGCGAATAGAGGCCTAAACCTATGTTTTAACTGTAAAATTAGGGGGTCGTCTTATACGCCGGAAAATATGGTATATGTTGTTTTTATTAAGTCAAGGGCTACCTCTTCTTCTATGTTCTTTAACTTTCCCAAAAAACTACTATATAAAAAGAGACATTTTACATGTATGTGTGCCTTTGTATTCAAGACAATGATCAGGGATGCCTATGTCGACAGCAGAGGCAAACGTAGGGGGACCATGGCTCACGGGAGCAAAGAATTTTCAGTAACCACCAGAGGTTTGCCCCAATAACCACAACTGGTGCCCTGCCTTTGGTGCCACCACTCACCTGCCCCACCATCCCACCACAGCGATGCCTGCCATTTTTGCGCACGCCCCCTGGTGTTTAGCACACATCATCAGACCGGTTGTTCGGTTGTTCTGGGTGTTCCGCTCTTCGGTTTATTGGCATATTAGCCTTTTATTTTACAAGATTATGTCTCCTTCCCATTATGATCTTTAATAACAAACATGCCATGAAAATAAAAACTCTGTCTATATTGTTCACTCCTATCTCCCAGTGAATTGAACAATATCTGGTACAAGGAAGACTCTCAGATATTTCCTGAGTCTGTGAGTCAGCAAGTGAGTGAATCAGTAAATGATAAATGAATGAATGAATGAATGAGTTGTTCCAGCACAGGTGCTTAATTTGAATCTCATTGAGTTAGGCACCCTCCCATCCCAGTATTTCCAACTGTCATTTGCCTGTTCTGAATCAGGTGGATTGAGAAGTGCTGAAACAGTGACCTTTTAAAGAAAATTCAGGGGCTGTTACTCAAAGAAAGAGAAGAGTGTACTGAGGAGGGAGGAACAGCTGTCTGCCCTGTGATCCCCCCCTTCTCTCTTTCTCTCACAATGCCTGTATGTTAATACCCTGGGCTAGATTTATGTCTTTTTTTTTGTTCCCTTCTCTCAAAAAGTTATCAATTCTTCTTTTGAAATATATCTTTTTTGAGAACTTTCCAATATAATCCACGTTGGCATTGACCCTCAGTTCCCTTGTCACTAGTCATACTGCCCATGGTGATGTGATCTCCACAAGCCAGGATCCCCTGACTGTGGGTTTCTTATTCTGTCATTTGTGGTTGTTTTTGTTTTTTTCTTTCCAAAAAGTACAACATAGTCAATTGTTCTTTCTACCTAATGGATGTTGAAAATGTTGTCAGCCTTCTAATGGTGGCATAGGAATAGGGTTGGATTTTAGGAAAAATTATTCATTGTGCAATTAAAATTTTAGATCTCATAATTTAAATGTTTATTGTACACTACAGTGGGTACCATATGGTGTTTCATTTGTTTAACATCTTGGTATGTTGACATATATTTAAGGACCCATGGAACTTTTGGCTCACTTTCCAATTAAAAGTGCATTTGTTGCCCTGGCCAATGTTGCTCGATGGATAGAGCATAAGCTGGCACTGAAAGGTTGCAGCTAGATTGCATGTCAAAGACATGTACCTGGGTTTCGGAGTCCATCTTGGGCCCTGATCAGGTGAGTGCAGAAGGCAACCAATCAATGTGTCTCTCTCACATCTCCCTCTTTCTTGCCCTCCTTGTCTTCCACTCACTCTAAAATCAAATGGGAAAACAATGTCCTTAGGTGAAGATTGAAAACAATAATAAAATTCTACTTTTTTCAAATAAATGAAGTAGGTACATTTTTTGTTCATTTGTTTGTTTGTTGACAAATTGCTTTTGGTGTGGAGAATATAAGCCCTGGCATCGGATAAGAAAATTAAGTTTAGTTTTGCAGATAGATAACATGGTTGTTTCTAAGGTATTTTCTCCCTAACTTGTTAATCTGATTGTCCCATCAGGCATTTCCCGGGAACATCAACTCTGATAGTGTGGTCCGGCATGACTTGCAGCATCCCGTTGTCGCCCGCTACGTGCGCTTCGTGCCTCTGGACTGGAACGGAGAAGGCCGCATCGGGCTCAGAATTGAAGTCTACGGCTGTTCTTACTGTGAGTAAATGAGATGCGTGGTGGGTTCTGCCATCTTCATGTAAAGTCTTCGTGTAAATTGTGACCTGTTTATTTTCAGTTATTTAACATGCCTTGTTTTCTCTGACAGTGAACTGCCTTCTGTTTTTATATATAAATAAAATATAACATTGTTTTGTTTTTTGTTTTTGTTATAAATATATATTTACATTTACTTACAAACATGTTATGTAAGAATACCTTAAGAATATCTTAAGGATGGGGAAACAATTTTGTTGAGTTAGCTAAAACAACAAAGCTTATTAGTATAATTAGTATAATTCTTTCTTAAAGAGGTTATGCTTACTGGTCTTTTCTGAAGTGTTTGTTCAGGAATCTTGCCCATATTTATATTGGGTTGTCTTTATGTATTTGTGTAATTGTTTTGAGTAGTATTTTTAAATTTTTAATTGTTTAAAGTATTACATATGTCTCCTTTTCCGGCCCCCCCCCCCCCATCAACCCTTCCCCAGCCACTTCCACCACCCAGGACAAGCCCCCACCTCCCCAGTGTCCATGTCCATTGGTTATGCTAATATGCATGCAGACAAGTCCTTTGGTTAATCTCTTACTTCCCTCTTCTGCCTTCCCTCTGAGGTTTGATGGTTTGTTTTGTGTTTTTTACATCCAACTCTGTTTCTTTTTTTATTCTCATTATGATATGTAGACATGTATCTTTTTTTGAGCTGGCTTTAAAAATAATTATTTGAGCCGAGACCGGTTTGGCTCAGTGGATAGAGCATCGGCCTGCGGACTGAAAGGTCCCAGGTTTGATTCTGATCAAGGGCATGTACCTCGGTTGCGGTCCCGTCCCCGGTAGGGGGTGTGCAGGAGGCAGCTGGTCAATGATTCTCTCTCATCGATGTTTCTAGCTCTCTATCCCTCTCTCTTCCTCTCTATAAAAAAATCAATAAAATATATTTTTAAAAAATAATAATAATTATTTGAAAACCAATTAAGTTACTTTGGAGCTCACAGTAAATAATAAAAACAGCTTGCCAAAAGAAAATAGCCCTCTAACTGTAAAACATGACAATGTGTTCTATAATCATTGTAAGTAGATTTGTAAAATTTTGCATTAGTGCTATCATGGACTTTTCCATCAATCTTGGGCTTTGACAATCACAACATGCAAAAATGAAAAATACCTGAAACTAATTAGGAAGCTGGATATTCTGTATATGCCTTTTTTTGGTAGGAGAAATCATACCCTTTGGGTAACTGTATTGATATTTATACCTATAGAAGCCAGTGGAGTAATGATAAATTGGCAACATAGAATCAAATAAAGTAAAATGGAAGTTGAAAAATAGAATATTATGATAGGTTATAATAAGTGGATAATGGCCTTCTAGAGATAACTGGCTCTAATTGCTGTTACTTAATAGGTCAAGTGTTTGTAGATGTGATTAAATGAATGGCCTGTTTTAAAAAGATATCTATTGATTTTTAAAGAAAGAGGAAGGGAGAGGAGAGAGGGGAGGTAGGAGGAAGAAAGAGAGAGAGAGAGAGATGAGAGAGAGAGAGAGAGAGAGAGAGAGAGAGAGAGAGAGAGAGAGAGAGAGAAGCATCAACGTGAAAACTAAACATCCATCAACTGCCTCCTGCATGCCCCCTACCAGGAATCCAGCCCTCAAACCAGGTGTGTACCCTGAATGAGAACTGAATGGCAACCTTTCAGTTCACAGGAAGACACCTAACCAACTGAGCCACACTGTCCAGGACAAGTTAATGGTCTTGGCTTGGGGAGAGTATCCAGTGTGCTTTAAGTGCAATCACATATATCTTTATAGGAGGTAGGCAGAGGGAAGTTTTGCAGGCAGGAAAAGATGGAGGCAAGGTGACCATGGATGTAGAGATTGGAGAGATGTCATTATTCTCCAGGGAATGTGGACAGCCACCAGAGACTGGAAGAGGAAAGATTACCCCCAAGACCTGCAAAGGGAGTGTGGTCCTGAACTCACATAGATTTCAACCCAGTGAAACTGACTTGGGACTTTTGGCCTACAAAACTGTGAAAGAACAAATCTCTGTGTTTTTTTAAGCTACCATAATTTTGGTAATTTGTTATAACAGTAACAGGAAACTAATACAAATGTCAATGTCATTTTAGGAAAACAAAAGATACAAAACAATATCTCTAGAGCAATGATCTCCAGAGGAAATTTTATACAAAGATGTTAATATTCTAGATCTGCTCTATTCACTAGACAGGTGTGGCTATTGAGCATTTGAAATATAGGCAAGGCACTGAGGAACTCAATTTTTAATTCATTTGGATTGAAATAATGCAGCTTAAAGGAACCAAAACATCTGCATCTTACTTTTTCTCCTTATAATCTAAACAAATTATAGCATTTGTGTTTTAATTGACAGGCTCTACATTTTTCCCTGGGGGTTAGAAAACAATAGTTTAATCATTCTGCAGAGGCTGTTTTTACTGTCAAAAATTTGATGACAAGTCTATTTCCCTAAACAGATCCTTAACTAGATCATTTCCTATTCTTTATTTGTCTACTACTATTTATAAAGAATACAAATTATATTTAGATCTTTTTCAAGAAAAAGCATGCATGTTTATACAAGGGAGAAAAAAAAGATGTGTTAAGCATATTTGTTATGGACAACTTTCTCAGAGTTACAATGATTTGGATTTATCTGCACTGGAATTCAGACTGGAGTGGGTCCTGAGAATATGGTCCTCTATTTTTCCTTGAACGCAGTGAACTGTTGGCTCCAGAGCTCTGTTTGAGTTTTCAATGAGAAAAGGAATCACGGAGCCTTGAGTGGGGAAATGCAGATGCACTCGTCCATTGGCCCTCTTAGGAGTAACAGTCCTGTGCACTCCAAGGTCCCTGCAGGAGCAGGCTTTGATCACTCTTGCAGGAGAAAGAAATAAATTCTCTCATCATTCTTAAAAACCCCTTCGAGGGTTTATCTGAGATCTATCTGAAACCTGCAGGTTAGAGAATGGGGTTGCTCTTTGATTTCAGTTTGCTAGCAACTCGAGAGAGAGAGAACTCTCAGTGTGAGCCCTGCTTTGGTTGGAGTGTATTCTCCTGTAAATCCCCTCGTGTGTGTCATCTTTCTTCCAGGATCAGCTCTTGCATGATCGCTTTGTTGCCTGAGCAATTAGGTTCTTCTCGAGGCTGAAATCAGAGGCTCACGCCATTCCAGGTGGAGAAGTTTAGTTCCAGGCCACTGCTTCGAAGCCGTGGGGCTTCTACTGTTTTTGTTTCCTGACTTGTCTTGATGGTAAAATGAATTCCAGTTTCAATGAATTTAAACTCGTTTTAGATTATTCCGCTCCCTCTGCATTTGGTTTTCCCTCAAGTTAAGTGGAAGCTAGTGCATTCTGTTATTTTTTTAAAACTTAGAGCTATCCTCCATGTCCTTTGACTCAGTAAGCCGTCTCCCAAAACACCATATCTTCATACTCCAATCAAAGGGACTACAGAAAGTAGAAGGGAAACTTCTCAGTCTAATAATTTTTTAAAATCATTATGGCTGGAGCACTCAAACATTTATTTAACAAAAGCCCAACAGCGTATTAATTAAAGTAGTGAGTCTTTTTTGACAAATATTAAATTGGCTTTAACCTGAGTCTTCATAAGAGGAAGGTCGGCACATTGGGAAACCGGGATATGCACATTAATAACATAAATTTTATATATGCCTTCAATTTGGATGAATAACTAATAAAGCCTAGCGATGTCACCCAATGCAATCCTGGTGGAAAATAAGGCGGGGGAGAAGACCATATTAATATTTTGTTTTGTGTATGAAATTCATGCAAGAACAGGCCTTCCTTCCCCCAGTTGCTGGCACTGGCTTCCCTCCAGCACCCAAGATCCGGGCTTTCCTCTGGCCACCAGCAGGCACCTGGAGCCTAAGCTTCCCTCACACCCTAGCTTTGTCCAAAAGATATCTGCCCTAATTAGCTTATTATGCTATTATTATTATTATTATATTATTTTTATTATATTATTATTATTATTATTTAAAGTATTATATAAAGTAGACCCTTTTCCCTGATTGATGAATGATTGACCCACCACCACCACCACCACCACTCCCACCCCCAGGACAAGCCCTCACTGCCCCAGTGTCTGTGTCCATTGGTTATGTTAATGTGTGTGCATACAAGTCCTTTGGTTGGTCTCTTATCTGCTCCTCTCCTACCTTCTCTCTGAGGTTGGGTGGTCTGTTCAGTATTTCTTTGTCTCTGGATCTATTTTTGTTCATCAGTTTGTGTTGTTCATTATATCCCACATATGAGTGAGATCACGTGATATTGATCTTTCTCAGACTGGCTTATTTCACTTAGCATAATGCTCTCTGGGTCCATCCATGCTGTTTCAAATGGTAAAAGTTCCTTCTTTTCTATAGCAGTGAAGTATCAAAAAAAAATGTTTTTAATTGATTTTAGAGAGGAAGGGAGAGAGAGCAGTTGCCACCAGCAGGCACCTCAATCAGGAATCAAACCTGCAAGCTCCATATGTGCCCTGACTAGGAGTCCAACTCTCCACCTTCTGCTGTACGTGATGAGGCTCCAAACAATGAAGCCACACTGGCCAGGGTGCTAATATTCTCTTGAAGGAACCACAGACTAATTCTAGTAGTTCTCATGCTGCCTAAGCAAGAAATACTGCATGTATACATTATTAGTTTGCTAGGGCTATAACCACAACCTGTGTGTCTTAAGACAACAGAGATTTATTCTCTCACAGTTTTGGAGGGCAGAATCAAAGTTATTCTCAGGGTTGGTTCCTTTTGGAGGCTCCGAGGGAAAAACTGTTTCATTCCTCTCTCTCAGCTTCTGGTGGTTGCTGGGGGGCAGTTTCCTGTTGGTTACCTTGCAGCTTCATCATTCCAGATTCTGCCTCTGCCTTCACCTGACTTCATTCCTCAACCTGTCTGTGTCTCTGTGTCCTCATACGGACACCAGCCATGGCAGTTAGGATCCACCCTAATCCGGTATG